GGGGGGGGGGGGGCTTGGGTTGTTTTGTAGTTTGTTTTGTTTTGTGGGTTTTTTGTGTTTTTTGTTGTTTTTTGTTTGTTTATTTTTTATCTTTCTTTGTTTCCTATTGGGATAACGATTACTAAAGTGTGTTCCAAACACCGCAATTTAGGGAGAAACAGTTTTCTGAGGCTGCTCCTCCTGCTGCATTTGCTGGTCTTCTGCTTTCACTTGCCTCTTTCGTCTGCACTGACGATGTCTACGCAGCAAAAATTTCACGAAAGTAATGGCATCGCTTACAAATATACCGCCGAAAACAAGGGTAAGGAACAAGATCGCCACCACCCCGGCAGTGGCACTGGACATTCGTGGATCCGGGGCGGATGTGCGCTTCCTTATAGTAGACGACAGCTGCTTTTTGTCAACGGTCAGATTTTTTATCAGGCTCGCCTTGTAATTTTCTATTTCAGCCTCTGAGACGTTGGTGGTGGTGTTTCCAACTCGGATTATCGCCAGTCCGTTGCTTGGCTTAGAACTGATGCTCCCCACACGTACTTGGCATCGGTACAATCCTTCCTTATTTGAATAAAGGTCGTTCAAAAGCACAGTCTTGTACTGGCTTTCGTTCAAGCTGTGAGACTTACACAACGCCTCATCGGCATTTCCATTAGCCTGGTTCTGCTCCAAGCTTGGCGATTTACAGACATTTTCTGAGGAACTTTCATTAGCCCGATACCACCACAAAAACTCTTCACCATACTGCGAAGAACATTTCAGTTGTACCCTGTCTTCAGATTTCACAAAGATTGTCCCGTTCTCTACGCAGACCTTCCCCATGACAGTCAGGACTGGAGGGGGGATGTTTGTTTCAAGGCGGACTGGGGGGTGAGAGAATGTACCGTTATGACTCACACGGCACGAGTAGCTTCCCACGTCGGTCAGATTAAAGTCATCTATTTGTAAGATACGCCCCGTTTTGTACTTCAGGGTCTCGTTGTCTCTCTGCCACTCATAAACGACTTGTCCCATGATGTCTGTGTGGGCTTCAATCTGGCAAGACAAATTGAAGGATGTGCCAAAAGGAACCACAGTCTTCTGGACTCTGATGCAAGATTGGGGGGCCTTGTCGCAAACTTGTGCACTATCATAACCGATGGACGAACACCTAGGCTTGTTCAATAGAGTGCCGTTAGTTGTGTTCAGTTTCTGTTCCGCTCGGAGAAAAGGTAACCACACACATGTATTACCACCCTCAGTCACTTTACAATAACAGTCTTTGTAGTCGTGAGGGCATCTTTTAATGTTTTTCGTAAGATTGTTACAATAGTTGTTACTATTTTCATTTTCACACTGGCACACATGATGGTACATATTAACTTGGTCACAGCATGTAGTCGGCATATTCAGTTTGAAATCAAAGAGATGACTGAAGATTTCAGGGAGAAAGGTATAGACATATTGAGAAATGGTGGTATTAGGGCGAACGGCCCAGAGGTGTGACGTATTGTTTATTTTTGCTAACCCTGGTGGCTCGCCATCTTTCATTAAGTCGAAATCCCTGGGGACCCAACCGTCTATCTGTGGGTAGAAGATTAGATCTATAATGTTAAATAATACAAAGAGCATTCTGCAGAGCATGAGTATACGCTGTATATCTGTAATATTATCTTAAATGTGTTGACTTCGTCGTCCGACAACATCAGACTCAACCTCAGTGTCTGTCATTCCAAATGTTCGAGCTTCAATCAATATCACCTTGCAAGAGATGTTTTCCGAAAAAAACTGAAGTAAATAGAATTAGGCTTGAATTTAACCCCAAATACTGGCGTACTGGTTAAATATTTAACCAATTGTGCCACAGCATTGGGCACAAGAGCGATTACAATATAATTATTGGTAAGTTTCCCCCCCCCCCCCCCATGCGCATCTGTTCTTGAGTTCGACGAACAAACACTGACAGGTATCTAATTGTAACTGTAAATATTAATTTAGCCCCACGTCAACTCAATTTAGATCATTTCGGAGGAGGAGGAGGAGGAGGAGGAGGAGGAGGAGGAGGAAGAGGAGAAAAGTCAGAGTTGCTCTTCTCGGTGATGAGGAACAGGATAGGCCCTAGTGATGTCAAAGACGCGAGCTACGGGGACACAAAACGATAGGATGTGCCAATTGTGGTTAGGAACCATTCTCCCGTGTTGTTGTTACGGTAGACTGCGCCGGGGAAAAAATGATCAAAATAGTGGACTAGTTCAACTGTTGTGACCAGGGGCGAAGGCTGACTTGTTTGACAGGGTAATCAAAGTGAAACGGGACCAGATATAGATCTATATGGCCTGTAGATATCACACAAGAATCTTACTCGAGGCAGCAACTCTGACTGAGTTGTAAATGAAAACAAATCCGGAATTCATAGTGTATGTTCAACCGCCAAAATAATCGGGAAAGTATATTATTAAAAGTCAGTTCCAACTAAAATTAAATTTACTTTAGATGTGAATACATAAACACAAAGCAAAGAAGCAGAGATGTCAGTACTAGATCTATATGTTATAGATCTACCAGAGAGTCTAACTCTTTGGTAGAACATGACAATTATCATTTTTTGAATTTCACATTTGGCTGTTTTTGTTAGCCTTTCGCGGCCAGGAGCTGGTGTCATAATCGAGGTCACGATCTGATTATAGGACAGTAAAAAGTCGAGGAAAAAAAACAAGCACATGAAGCAGTAAAGAGATTGTTAGGAGTTAGTTCCCCTCACATTTGTGAGGTAGACTCGACCAGTGTTCGTTAGCTTACTTAATCAGGGCTTGGGATTGATTATAACTGTGGCCCCAAAGGGGTGAACAGGGTATATGTGGCAATGAAACCCGCCATGACTGCTATGCACATGTTCCCTCAACTGTATTGGTAGACTCTTCCAGCCTCACTTTAAGCTTACTTAATCAAAGCTTGCGACTGCTTATGGAGTGGCCCGAGAGGGGTGAGGAGGCTATTTCTGTGGCCGTGAAACCGTTTTGAATGTTAGGCATACTCATTGTGGATTACGAACCTCTTTTTACTTTTAATTTAAGAGGTTTACGTTTAAGGATGAATTTGACAGCGACAATGTTTCAAAATTAGGAAGGAAAGCAGTGATTATTTGATTATATAGACGCTTCGCCCCTGGTTGTGACTGGAGCATACCACTCCGTAAAACTGAGAACGGAGAGGAGTAGAAGAAGTTTTTTGTTAAATCTGCAATGGTACACCATCGGTCTATTGGACTACAGGGAAGGTGATAGTGTGGAGGTGAATGCGTGCTAAGTTGGAAATGTGTGAGAACGTCTGAGAGCAATTTTCCATAAGCCCAAAATGTTTATGCAGCCACGTCAACTTAAATTGCTCTTAAAGCCATTTTCTACGCATACCTTTGCTCATGGAGTGTCAATTAATTGTAAAAGAGCAATGCCCTCGGCGACACATTTCGGTTCATTTTGGGATTTGGGCTTCATCGACCCAACCTTTTGGCATTCTGGCCCGCGAAGAGCAGTCGGGATACAGCATCCCAGCAATAAACAGAGATGCTCTTTGAAATAGATTTCCCCTCCTATAAATCGAACTTATATCTTTTGCGTGCAACGGCTAAACGTTACATCACATGAACCGGCATTCGAGGTGTGCACACGAGCGTACATGTGTTTGACTTCATGTTTTATTACTTTCCCAGCGCTTATTTGGCTGGTTTTGTGGCATTGACGCATTGATATCATTATGATGAGCAATCCCCATCCACAACCCTTTTCTCCATTCCACCCCACTCCACACTCCCTCCCCCTGTCCCTTCCTTCTTCCTTTCGACTTTAAAAAAAAATCCAGATACATGTCAAAAGACAATCATGACATATTAAAACTATGTTTTTTATACCTAGTACATGATATTGTCCGCAGCAAGTATGTATGTGTGTGTGTGTGCGCGTGTGTGTGTGTTCGTGTGTGTGTGTGTGTGTGTGTGTGTGTGTGTGTGTGTGTGTGTGTGTGTGCCCAGAGAAAGGTCTCTGTTATCGGAAATTTTGGATATTGAAATAAGGGCACATTATTCTTTTACCAAATTCAATGCTGAACACGCTCATTTTTTAATTTTTCAAACATCTTGAGTAGTTTTTAAGATATGCAACATTTTGTTTTAAAAAAGGGTACATTTATAAACAAAAGTTAGTTCGGAGAAAAACGGCTTTATCCTTTATATGATGGGCCAATTTCTAGTAGAATCTACAGTTTTAACCTTTGTTGGAATACGACATGTTGCAAAAATATTTGATTTTTGAAAAGGGTTTCGACTTAAAATATGATAAAAATCCTTCCAATGTGTTATCAAGAAAAGGCTAATATAAACGTGTGTTTTCTAATGGAACTAAAGTTTTGACCAGGTGTGACATTTCGGCCTTCTCACTCCGTTCGCTTTGCCGACTGAAACTTTTCTCCAGGAACACACACAAATAACGAGCAGCTGAGTAGAAATGCATATTAGCAAACAATGTTGCAAATAAGCTATATAATAAACTACACCATTTTCTATACTATAAATACTCTATTAAGTGCAGAGGATGTTATAAAGTATTTAAATAAAACCATCAGCATCTAATATTAAGTCATACAAAAACATAAGAGCGTGCCAGTGTGTACAAACCTTTTTGAGCCAGATTCCAAAGTCAAACGCCTTGGCTACTTCCATTGCGCTTAATTTTTTTTTTAGAGCTCTGAACTGGCTGTCATTTTCAATTTTTAAAATGGTCCAATGATTGGGGCATGCTTGGTCCTTGTTGAAAACTGTGCTGTTTGCTAGTAACAGATAAAACGTTTTATCTGCTTTAAAAATATATTGACCGTCTGAAAATGTCGGCGTCCCTGTGAAATAAATGATTAAGACATTAAAAGCAGCAGAATTAATTAGGCTGCAGAGAAATATAGAGGTCACATTGAAAAGGCGACAATCTCATTAACAATAAAGGTCACTTCTATAGCGCCCACTCCCTAGTGGCTCAAGGCACCCCACAATAAAATAAGATTTAAATCAACGTTTCGTGCAAACTGGCGCATTCAATGTACAACAATTCTTTCAAATAGATACACTCGTACTCTAACAAGAACACACACACACACACACACACACACACACACACACACACACACACACACACACACACACATACACACAACACACACACGCGCGCACAAGCGCGCGCAAAATGACAATCACTGTGGTTACTGATCAAACTTGGTGTTAGAAGAAGAATTAAACTAGTTAGAAAAATAGGTTCACATGTGTTTTCAGACCAGAATCAACGGTCAAAGTAGGGGCCTCTCTTCAATCAATGCAGCTGAGTGGGAAGATTCCACACTGAGAGCAGCTGTCGAAAAAGCCCTGACGCCATTTTTATTTTTTTTACAAGGCACAATCTTTGAGTGGTGGTCTTGTTTGTTTTTGTTGTTTTGTTTGTTTGTTGTTGATGGGTTGTTGTTTTTTTTGGGGGGGGGTGTTGTTGTTCTTTTTGTTGTTGTTGTTTTCTTAGGTTTTTTCTGTTTTTGTTTTTTTAGGGTGAGGGGCATAATTAATGGACCGTACGTTTCGAAATTAATTATACTCCTGCAGTGAATTAGAAAGGTGTTGTGGTGCTGGATCGTTTAAACAATTACAGTAAATCACTGCAATTTTGTTTGTTTTTTAAATACGGGCTTTAACAGGGAGCTAACGTCGCTGTAAAAGCAATGGTGTTGTGTGAACTTTACTCATCTTCGCATCAATTCTTTTTGCTTTAGTAAGATTTTACAGCGCTCGCAACTACATGACAATATGAGCGCCAAGGGGTGGATGTCAACAGAGAAGTCCAAACGGGTAATCATGCTTAATCTGCTCACCTCTCTAGCCTCAACAGCACAAGGTCTGCTTCGACTATAAAGGCACCCTGGAAATAGCAGTTCACAAGAGAGTGACAAACATACAAAAGAAATAGAGGAAAAAAAGACGATAGTAAGGATGAGGAAAGAAAAAGCAGCAGTTACCCCTATGTTGTTCCGGCACAGTATGAGAATGACATTAACGAATCACAACCACCACATTTATCAAAAGAAAAATCAGCGTGCTGAGAAAGTTACGAAGAATAGTTTCTTTTTTTTTCTTTCTTGGTTGCTTGTTGGTTGTTGGTTTTTTGCTTTTTGGGATTTTGTGTGTGTGTGCTGTTGGTTTGTTAGTTGTTGTTGTTTTGTTTTGTTTGATGTTGTTTGTTTTTGTTTTGTTTTGGGTTTTTTTTGGGTGGGGGGGGGCTATACTGTTGAGGGGGCCTGGTTCCAGCAGGGTGGGGCAACACCGCACCATAGAGTTATCTCCTTTTATACTAGAGTCCGTACGAGGTCACGTGACACGGAAACGTTTGAGTTTGTAGGCGGCCATTTTTCAGTGGGCCAAAACTTTTGTTTACATGTGAGTGGGCGTGTCTCTGCTCTTACATGTGAGTGGGCGTGTCTCTGCTCTTACATGTGAGTGGGCGTGTCTCTGCTCTTACATGTGAGTGGGCGTG